TTCCGACGGCTCCGGGACAGGTGGGGCGTGCGACCCGGGGAGGGACTTTGGAAAACGCGCGTGGTAGGGGACGCCTGGAGAGGAGCAGGCGCACCAAAATCGGCTGGGGTCAGGAGAGCAAACCGCGGGGGCCTCAGCTGGGGCGCTGAGCAAGAGGTTATTTGTTCTTGTCTGGAGTGGAAATCAGGGTTGAATGAAAGCCCACGCTTGGCTGAAAGTGGAGACCAGATGCGGGCTTGGTTGTCACTGCCCGGTGCGTCCTTCAGCGCGTGGACTCGCGCTCCGACGGCGCCGGGGCGCGCGCTCCGACCCGCTGCGTCTCCGTCCTCGCCGCCCTCTGTCTGGCTGGTCTGTCTTTTCACCTCTGACACCTCAGCCTGCAGCAGTCATGCCTCTGCGCCTCCAGGGTTGCGCCTTAATTGGAAAAGTCGGCGTGTTTAAAATGTAGACTGTCATTTCTTTAACCAGCTAGTCTCTTTGGCTTCTATCCGAAGTCCATCTGCCATATATTGCTGTTCTATATTGTATAGATGCTTTTCCAAAGGTGCTGCGTGGAGTTACGCTTGATATTTTTAAGGATCAGACTTAGATACTATTATTATTAGCAGACTAAGCTGCCCAGTAAAGTGGGTAAACAATTTCAATGCAAATACGGATTTAATGCAAGTTGTCGTTGATACAACAACGTCGTTTATTCTTCCAAAGAACATGTTCATATGTGCCACATTTCACACTCGGCATGTTTCTGGAGCTTCTGTAGTTCAAAAACTTTCAATGTGAGTTAAAAAAACACACACCACAAAACTTTTTATTCTTCCCAGGGTGACATAACATAGGGCATAGAGGTTTATTTACCACTGGGACTATTTCTGAGTATTTCCAATTCTCTCCGAGTAAGTTAGAGCCCCGTGCTGGCCTCAGCTCCCTGTCACCTTATCACCCGCAGGACTGTCACATTCCTGGGTTTAACCCCTGCTCTGCTGGCATCAGCTTGTGCGGCTCCTTCATCAGTGGCAGGACCAGGCAGTAGCAGTTACACAAAACTCCACCAGATAAGTTAATTCACTGTGTGTCAAGTGATGGATGAACTGATCGTACCATTGAAATCACAGTTCTGTCGGAAACAGAACAAGCTATGCAAACTTGTGTTTAATAAGCAAGGCTTTATAATCCTAAAGAAAGGTGTTATGAGTGCTGCACACACCACAAGTGCTGCTTGCCATTGGGTCATCCTAGTTTCAATTTAGTCAATGACTTCTGGAAATTACAAGAAACTCATCGATGAGTATTAATACCTTTTGAGTTTTTTGTTTAAGAAAATACAATTCCAATTGCACTTAACATTTCGATTTTTTCTCTTTCTAACACTTTGTAATTATTTAGTTTTATTTTTAAAATTCATGTAGACTTGCGGCACATAATTTCACATGTACCTGTTCTTTCCTGACGACTTTTTGGCAAATTAATTTGATGTGCCTGTCATCTTTAGCTAAATGTTTGAACATGAGTTGAATGGGTTGTGTGGTAGGGCTGCTTGTACACGTGTATATATATATTCCCCCCACCCCACTCCTAATGTTTGTTTTGATATTAAAGAAAAATTTTGTCGAATTTCTTATTCTCATAAAATCAGATATTTTATTTGCGGAAAGGGCTAAGGTCCCAGGGGAATGCTGGATGTATAAGAAGTAAAGCATCTGTGAAAGGTGTCGGTATTGACTTTTAACACACAGTATCCTAAAACGTTACCTGCGTGCCTATATGGAATATGTTATATCTCATAAGTGGGTGATAGAACATGTTCAACATTTTCCCCTAAAGTTAATATTAGCTGTTTTCTTCTTGTGAGCTGTCCTTAAATAACAAAAGAATAATCGAGGAGTGGGTGGGATTTATTTCTTCGCGAGACAGAGGAGCTAATGTTTCTAAAATCTTTCCCTGTTTCCCAGCGGAAGCGATAGCAGGTCGGCGTGAGTCCTAGGATGTGGGCGGCGGGCAGACACTGTCATGTTGAATGAATATCGGTGCTGTTTCATAGATCTCCATTCAGGCCGTGTCAGCCTAGGGCCACCTACACGTTGCTGATGAGACTTAGGGAGCCTGCGAAGCTAGATGCCTTCAAGGGAGCGTCCGTGAGAAGTGAGCTGCTGTTAGCAGAACCCTGGCTTCTTGGGACTGCGAGTCAGTTCTGGGTCTAAGTTGGGAGTTGATCTGTCTGAAGGCAGGTCCCTTTGTCACCTCCTGGCTTCACTATCCTCTGCTTCCCAGGCAGACGGTTCAGTGAGGAGGAGAATGCCAGAGGGGTGCGATTTTCTTTCCCCAGCGTGTGAAGCTACTTGGGCATTCCCAGGGAGTGTTTCTTCAACATACAGCTTTTGTCTGTGGTCTGCACCTTGAACTTGGAAGTTCTTAAACCCTTTGCAGTAGCATTTGTTGGAGAAACAAGCCGGCACAACGGAGGTATTTAAACATTTTGAACCCAATTTCAGGTCATTTTGATCCCTCTTGGTGGCAGGGTGAGTTGGAGTTGTGGGGGGACTTTGAAAGTCACTGCAGTAATTGGTGCTGACACAGCAGGTCTGTGTTGTTGATGGTCACGGCGACGTTCTTGCTGGTCCTTCTTTGCCCCTCAGTGGGCTTGTTAGCAGTGAGCCGATTAGTTGCACGTTACGCATTGTCAGCACACGCCTTCTCACGTTAGTCATTCCAAGCAGTCCTTCTGCAGATGAGCAGGCATTTCCCACGGCTAGACGAAGCATCTGAACCAGCTTTTCAAAATAGCGGGGGTGTGGGGGGTGTGTGTATTTCTCCCCTTTTCACAGTAAAATGTTACCTTTTATTTTGAATATTTTAGTATTTACAAAAGAGAGGATTCGATGCTTCATGTTTGTAACTTTGCAAGTCTAGGGAAGGTGGTGAAGGCGGGTGATCTAAAATTACTTTGCTAAATTTAAGTGTAAGTGAAATGTAGACAACAGCAAGAAATTAAAGGGTGTGCTCCAAAGGGAGCTCTGGTCTCAGTCTTCGATTTAAACTAACTTTTAAGTCCTTCTATTTT